CCATTTTTTATTGCACATTCTTGTAGCTTATCTCGAGAGCTTTTCAAAACACTATAATAAAGTATCTTTTTATTAAGTTTTTTTCGAGTTATTTTATATCTTGATCTGACATATTTTGATATAAAAAATAAAATATCTCGTAAAATATTTAGTTTTCAATAATCTTAACGTAATACTTTTATGTACAGAATAATAAGACAAATTAATTGCTATAAAAAAGACAAATAATTGTTTTAAAAAAATACATTGTAAATAAGTACATATTTTTTCTTAAAAACAATTATTTTCTTTATGTCAACACGGATCCCCGATCCAAAATCTAATAAGGTCTATTGGCTCCCTTTGAACCCTACAACTTTTGTCTGAAACATTTTTCTCTAAAATTGTTCAAGAGATATTTGAGGTCGTCATTTAAAATGGGACACCCTATATATGTGTTAGCATGTAAGTGACAAAAATTGATTAATATTTGACAAAAGAATTTCTCGCGATTAAACATATTTTCGCCGAAATAAGAACATTCGCGAACGTCTAATTTTGTCTTTTTCGACGCAAGGTCGCAAAAGACGTTATTTGGCTTTAAAAAGATATTTGTAAAAGAAGATTCAACCACTAAATTTTCAATAAGTATTCGATCGCAAAAATTATAAATTAATAATGTAAGGATAAACGTTGTTTATAATCCATTAAGTTTCTATAATCAAACGTTAATTACAATTATTTCGCAATTTCTTATAGAAGTAAATTACATGAAGTATTACTCAAATTACTTCGTTCGGCGATACTTCTATTTCTTAAAAAAGATCTGACATAATAGAATAGATAAAGCGGTAAAATATAGCCGACTGTGATCAGCGCGCTAATCAACAATGTCAGCTGTCAAGACGCGTTCTTACATTTGACAAAATAACGCTCTTTTTCCAAGCTCCAGTTAATCCGAGCGATTTCTCTTTCGTTCATAGTCTTTTATTTCTTAAGAAAGATGAAGAAGAGACTATTCTAATGCAAATATTCTATCGTTGAATAACCAATAAGCCTTAAGAATTTTACATTAAGTCTGCTCGCGAAGGAGACAACGAACTTAATTAAGAACGCATTGTTACATTACTCCGAATCACACGATGCGATTGACTTTTTACGAATATTCCGATTAAACTACGCGTGAAATAATCGGCCATCAAAGACATCGCGAGTATTTACGTCTCATTTTCGACTTGTCGCGTAGGTGACGTGACGCATCATCATCATGCCGGATTATCCGTTCGGGTAGAACCTGAGCTTGGATTCAGCAGAATAGTGTCGACACTATCGAGTGTCGCACCTCCTAGCACATCTTGCGACATGATGAGCGACGAGCGTACAATAAAATTTTTTTTCCGCGAGGCCAGATGTGGGAGATGATCGCCGAGCGGAGATTGGGTTATCCAGGGCGACCGTATCACATGCGACTCGATGATCGATCGGCCGGAAGGACGACGTTCACGGTCGTCGAGTCGCGAGGAAAAAGGCTCGAGGACGCGTTCGAGTAGCTTCGAGAATCGGTTTATTACTCACTTTTGGGTATTCGCCAGCAATGCCTGACGGCAAACCAGGCCCAACATCTTTCAACGGAGACGGGGACGGGACAGTGAGGGAGAGAGGAATGACGTCGGCACCCTTCGTTAAACACGACGATATTGAAGGGCGAACGCGTAGGAGCCCTTTAACTGACAGATCCTGTCGGACAATGATACGATCCAATCGCTATCGGATCTCTTCTCCTCCTCCTCCTTCTCTTCTTCTTCTTCGGCGGTCGTGCCGAATTGCCGAAACTGTGAAGAAACGGCTCGATGTCACCGCACACCATCGGGCGAACGATCAGCCGAAGCGCGCTACCAGATGTTCCCCACTTTTCGCGGGAACGCCCAGGGACGTACGATTACCTGGCGATTACCCCGGGGTAGCGCGATTCTACTACCCCGATGGTAGAGTTACCATCGCTACCGTATCGAATATCCAAATATTATCTATTATTAGAATTACAAATTTAAAAAA